TCCATTCCATAGATACAAACAGCTGCAGAAACTGCACTCAGGTCAAGGGACAACATGAAACCCTGTATGCAACTCCCACCAAGCTCACTGTCCCATGGAGGTGACAGTATATCTCCCTGTGAAGGAGGGTAATCTGAAAGACCCTCTCCCACATGCCCAATACACCACCCTCCTATCTGTGTAAACTTGATGGAGCGTCATGGGCAGCCCCTGGTGGAATGCAGTCTTGGCCAAATAGTTAAGACAAGATGTAGCTAAATTGAGCAATGAGAGGGCTTGGTCTCTTGTCTCAGTGCTGTGGGAGCTTGGAGAAGTCATTGCCTTCCTCTTGGATAATGAAATCATCCTGGCACACACGTAATGAGCACCTAATGTGTGCCAAGCACTGAGCTGGGCACTTAACATATGTGACTTCTGATCCTCCCAGCAGCCCAATGACGTTGTTGTTATGTGCCATCCAGTCGGACTGACTCATGGCGACCCCTCCTTGGGTTTCTGAGGCAGTATCATACGGAAGTAGATTGCCCCATCTTCCTTCCGAGGAGTAGCTGGTGGGTTTGAACCACCAGCCTTCTGATTAGCAGTCAAGTGCCTTTGGCACTGCGCTACCAGAGCTCCCTCCCAATGACATAGGGATTCCTAACCTGAGTCTCCAAAGGAGGAAGCCAAGGTTCAGAAAGGCTCAAGGTCCTTAGGAAGTGACTGGAAAGAATTGCGACTTTAATCTTGCTACCATAACACACTGCCTTTCACCACTGTCTCCCACACAGGCCAGCACCTCACTTCCTCGCCTGTAAACAAATGTGGACCAGATCATAAGCAATTAGCGGTACTTCTTATCCCCTTTCTCTCTTTTGCAAAAGTTTATTTTGTTGTTGTTGCTGAAAATATCCATAGCATGATATGCACCAGCTTAACTTCTGCATGTCCCGTTCTGGGGCACTGACTGCACCCGTCAGGTCGTGCTACCATTCTCACAGTCCTTTCCTAAACTGCTCCTGCCCCGTTAACATTAGCTCACTGCCGTCTAAGCTGCCTAGCTGGCCTTTGGAGTTGGTATGGTCAATTTGATCCCATTGAGATAGTTGTTTAAAGAAGACTTCAGGGTATAATTTTGATTTAAGGATCAAGGTTTAAAGATTGTCTCAGGGCAATGGTCTTGGAGGTTCATCCAATAGGTTCATCCTCTTCTTAGTTCTGCTTCCTTTTCACTCTGTGACCTTAGACAAGTAGCTGACCCTCTCTGAATCTTAGTTCCTTCAACAGTATAAATCAAATACTGGACTAGATGACGCTGACTTAGAAATTCTTTTCTCTAGTCATGATTTTTCCACCTTGCTGGCTGTGGGTCCCACCCCCTACATTCTGCGTTCTGTTTCTCTCCCTCTATTCAACACAGAGGTGAATCTGGCCGCTGCAGTGATCGCAGTGCTGGGTCTGGCAGTCATGGCCCTGGGGTGCCTTTCTATCATCATGGTGCTCAGCAAAGGGGCGGAGTTCCTGCTCCGGGTTGGAGCCGCCTGCTTTGGCCTCTCAGGTGAGGGGTGAGAGCCTGGAGGCTGAGAATACTGCATGCTGGGAGTGACATATCCAAGCCCTGTTGCATGCTGGGAAGTAGGGTCTCCAAGTACCATTGGATGCTGGGAGTTTAGCTCAAGGGCTAAAGTAGACTCAAAGACAGCAGAGGTCCAAGTCCTATTGTTGGCTTGGATTGGAGGGCCTCCAAAACACTGTTTTAGATTTGGATCCACAGTCGCCAAGGACTGTTGCCAGGCTGGGAGGTGTGAAGTCTCCAAGCACTGTTGCATGATGGGAGGTGAGGTATCCAAGCACTGTTGCATGATGGGAGGTGAGGTCTCCAAGCACTGTTGCATGATGGGAGGTGAGGTCTCCAAGCACTGTTGCATGATGGGAGGTGAGGTATCCAAGCACTGTTGCATGATGGGAGGTGAGGTATCCAAGCACTGTTGCATGTTGGGAGATGGGAGTTAGAGGAAGCTCCTGGGCTGGAGAAGTTCAAAGCTGGGAAGAGCTCTGGTCCCCGTTGCTGGCTTGGAGTTGGAGCCCCTCTAAACATTGTTCTAGGTTTGGACTCAGGGGTCCCAAGGACTGTTGCATGCTGGGAGGTGGGGGAGTGTGTACCAACACTGTTGCATGCTGGGAGGTGGGGCAGGGTCTACCAACACTGTTGCATGCTGGGAGGTGGAGGAAGCTCAGGGGCTTATAGACTTTGGAAGATGGGAAAAATTCCAAGCCCAGCTGTTGCTTAGGAATTGGGCCTCTCTAAATGCTGTTTTCGATTTGGACACCAGGACTGTTGCATGCTGGGAGATGGGTGTCTCCATGCATTGTTGTACGATGGGAGTAAGAAGTCAGATTTGAACCTGGGACAGTCAAGGACTGTTGCATACTGGGAG